CAGTTTCATCAAGTAACACCACTTAGCAAAGCAACCATCGATCAGGAAGGTCAATTTTATGGAATGTTCTTGTTTTGTTTTGAAAATCAGATCGCAAGATGACAAACGTTTTACGCCGTCTTCGAACTCGTTTTGGGAGGCTTGCATTTGACTGCTCACAACTTCCTTAAAATCTCTCACTCCTGATCCGGTTTTCAATTCATGGATCAACTCAGCTTGAAACCTTTTGATAATCGATTTCGACAAGATTTTCAGCTGAGCCAAGAATAATGGCGACAAGTTGGAATTCATCTTGGTCATAAATTCTGTCCGTTTGCGTTGGTATACTCCTGTGTGATACCTCGAAGCAGCCAAATCGAAAGAAGCTACAGTGAGATATTTAGTGCGTCATTAGCAAACTGTGATTTGTGGGGTATACTTGAGAGTATATAAGAGACACGCTAACCCAAACAAGTCCTTCGTGCCTCCAGCATCTTGGTTCCTAGCTCATCTACCAGTTTACCAGACTCCATTTTAGTCTTTAATGGTTGTATTAGGGTGGTGAATTGTTCAAACGAGGTGGCTGCAATCTCATCACATCTGAATTGAGCTAAAAGTTCTTGCTGAGTAGGTAAGTCTAAATCCTTATTCGAAACCACTGCGTCCTGGATAAGTGACGATATGATGAGGGATGATTGTAAACAATCACGTGGATATTGACTGTGGCAAATAACGATAATGACACGAGACTGACCCAAATTCCGCTCATGTACTGAGCTAGTCCATCAGCTGGGATTCGTTTATGATAGATAGGTTTGAAGACATAGTCTGGATGAGTCTTGTCCACAAACCTCCTCCTGAAATTTTCTACTTCACGATCGAAATTTTCTGGTTGTAAAATCTTGTGCGATAGGGCCGTGAAGGTCAAATCGAAATAATCGGTGATCTTTGAGGATTCTGTTCCTTCAGGCTGATCATATTGCAAATAGTAGAGGATGATCAATCGAAAGCCCGATGAATGGCATCAATAATATGAGGATTAATCAGCTTCGGGACATTGGCTAGGCTGAGTAATGCCTGAATAGAGCATATATACCTTGACCAAGGTATCCCAAATCCGGTTCAAATCTGTGGTAATCGTATTTTCAAGATTTGAAAGTGGAGTTGATCCAACGTGATCTCGAATAACAAAAAGTAAGTGTGTTTTATCATATCCGGCCCTATTGCAAACAATTGCGCAATTGATTCGTTAGTCGGTTGGGTGAACCCATGAGTGAGAGAACGAGCGCCCAATGGTGTCAATTTCCATTTGATGATGTATTTTCACTCACGTTGAAGTCCTTTGCTTGGCTTTGTTAGCTTGAAAGAGAGCTAGATCAACCTCGAATACGGTTCTCAATAGGCCCATATTCGCTCCTTGATAGAGGCCAACTTGATGCTCCCACATATTGACTATAATTACTTCCGAGGAAGCCATCGAGAAGAGTGCAGCCTTGCGTTCAAAATCCTAGTTTGTCATTGTTGGCCACATATTAGCCTATCCGTGTGAGAAAACATGTACATGAATGTCATAGGTGATGTGTACTGACTTGATCTTCTCCTCGTTCGCGACCATCAGCACCTTCAACATCCATAACTAATACATCCATATCTTTCCCCTTACACATCCAAATCCCTTCAAGTAAGTGCGAAAATAAAAGTGAGTGATTTCAATTCGGCAGACAATATTTTCGAAGTGCAGAACCCAAACATTGAATTGAGATAATTCAAAATACCTTTGGTTGTTTGTCGTCGTTCGGCTTCATTCATAACATCGAACGTAGTACCAAAAACCCGGTTCAATAGCGTACCTGCAAAATTAGACGCAAGAATAGCTTTATCAGTTTCCAATTGTTTCTTTCAATTCCAGGTAGTTTCTTGTGAATGAAAGTAATTCATCTATTTAATGTTGAGTCCGCATGGATTATGACGACATAAGATTGAATCATTCTGAATAGTTTGTTTCGAACTGATCCAATTTGAGTGCTCAACTAGAATAACAAAGTGAATGTGTGGAGAGAGAGACACAAGGAAAATAAAGATATTCGGTGTTATGAACTTGCTCTTTCCGGTAGATTGTGAACCAAATACGGCAACGACATCATAATTGAAACCTTTTTCTAACAACCCCCAGCTTTCGATAGATTTGGGAAGGACATCCCTATCGAAAACAAGTATACGTCCACGGTCATTATTTCGTCAAGGAGCGTGTATTTTGGAGGAAGAAAACATGTCAGTTAGCCATTTGCAACCTAGGAAATAAGCAGATCAGAAGATCGACTCACGTGAACCTCTGTTCTTCTCCAATTACTTGCACCTGTTCAGTGTGATGACGATATCCATTCGTGTTTTGAAGCGGTTCAGCCATCATCGCTAGGGAGTAGATCGATTGAGATATTGAGCCGATGTTATTCGATTGGAGGAATTTGGGGAGCAGGTGATGGCGGAACTTCGGATGGTCAGAATTCCCAGATGTTAGGAGTAGACGATAAATTTTGTGGTTGGTGAGGCAATTGGTTGATTCAGGTTGAAGTCAGGCTGAGAGTGAGGGGTGGTGGTGAGTGATTACGTCATCAATCAGCTAACTCCAGGAGGGGAACCACTACAAGATTCAAAGTTAACCCTATTAAAGCCAAGCAGGCCCAACAAAGCCAGTAGTAGTACCCATCAAACCATCTCCATGTTAGATTATGTTTCAAGCTCAGGGAAAATGACTCACAGGCCCAAGGGATCACATAGAAGCTGATTGGTCAGTGTGTGATTGAATGTTTGTTAACAGAGGCTTGGCAATTTTCAGTGGTCTTGGCCAAATGATAAATCTGATGGTATATATGACAATTATTTGCCATTGCCACCATTCCCCTTTCTTTCAGTTGGCCAATCAATCCAACTGTCACAGCTATCAGTATTGCATCAGAAACCAAGACCAAAGTCACTAGTTGAAATCCCACCTCTAACTTGTCCTTCAGGAAACCTTGTAAGTTGTATACCTAACTAGCTTAACAAAGCCTCTCCCGGGGCATCCCCGCGGGACGCTCTCCATAGGAGAGGCTTATGAGTCAAGTCAAAAATTTGGCTGGGACAGGAAGGCTTTTCAAGCCTAATGCCACATAATAATTTTTCAAAAAAAATACCACATACAGCCAAACCAAGAAAGCTTGCATCTTGGTTGGCAGAAGATTCAGAAAAAAAAAATCCTGACTGCAGTCGTAATCTTTGGAAGAATACAGCCATTGTACAGGTTCCAACATACCTGCTGGTAGCACCAACAGGACCGCACCGGACCCCACCAGCCAGCCCTACGGGGGGGCAGGGGCATGGGTGGCTCGCATTTCAATGGGCCAGTCCGACTAAACTTT